TATGACTGAACTATTGTGCTGTACACCGGAAATTAACACAGCATTGTAAACTGACTATACTTCAATTAAAAAAAAAGTAGGGAGAGTGAGTATACTTGTCCCAGAGAGGCTGAGCTTGGAGAAGTGAGTTATTTCATTGATGGAAGGTAGGGCAGAACCATTAAGATTTACTTAGATTCCCAATACTTTTGGTTGTAAGCCATGTTGTCTGAGGACACTTTCCAGGAATTTGCAATTGGCTGAGACTTTTCTCCATGGCCTGCTGAGTTCTGAGAAACATGAATCAATAGTCAATTGTTCACAGTAATCAAATTTCACCTGAAAAATGTTGTAAAATACAACTCAATGTGAAAAGCTGTATCTTATAGAACCATTTTCAGATTTAATCTTTTCATTACTTACGAACTGGGAGCACATTCACACATACATACACCTTTACTCAGAGCAACGGAAGTCAACATTTTCACAGTCAACAGACTTCACGTTCAACAACCAACAGAAAAAAATACCAGTTTCACTCAGTCCCTTTGAGCACCAAGATGAGTTTCTGTAAACTCTGTGGTGGGCTTTTTTTTTTTTCAGTTAAGAAGAAAAAGATCACTACCATGGAATGAACAAAAAGCAATTTTTTTTAATAGACTGAGGCGTTTGGGATCAAGAATTTCTTTCTGATCCAACCTAAGCCAATGAGTGGCATGACTGATGGGAAGATACTGGATTAGGCGTGCAACTCGAATCAAAACACGTCTGTATTTTGGAGCCTCATAGGTTCTCAAAAATCAGTTGTTTATGCATGTGAGCCCCTAAAGGTGAACCATGGAATTCTTCCTTTCAATTCTCTCATTTTGTAAAAGAAGATGGAGGAACAGAGAGAAATCTCAAATTCCTAGACTCAGCCTGACTCTGAATACGATGTCTTTTCTGTTCCACCAAAGCAGAAGCAGAGATTAAGCACGTTTGCTGTCCTCTAGCCCTCGGAACCGCAGTCCATGCTGTCACTTCACGCCTCACTTCCTGACAAGTATTTTGCGAGCAGTATATTGTCTAACAATCCAGCTGGCAGATTTGGGGTTGTCATTCCAGACCCCATCCTCTGTGGCACTCTCAGCATCTCTCTCTGTGTGTTGACTTCTTATCTTTGTCTCCCATATACGTTAAGTTTTATTTTAACTTAAGTAAAACCTGCCACAGGCTCTGTTTGTGAAGTCAGTATAGCTTCCTTTATTTTCACGTTCAGCTCTTAGAATGACCTCTTCCTTGCTCATTACCTGACACCTTGCCACAGTTTTGTTTTGTTTTTGTTACTTGGTTTCATTTCATTTTGTTCCTTTGCTTGTCTGTTTTCCCCCCAGATGTAAGAGTTATGTCTGAGGTGATTCCACTTTTCAGCAGTGCTTTTGCCTCAAGACTTTTAGCCTCCATCTCTTTGGAAATATTCCCTGACCACGTTTCCATACCCTATGCTGGAGTAGGGATGAATTGTTCTGTGAGGGAAATAATGGGGTGGCATGCTAGTTTAGACTGGGGGTGCACGAAGAGCCTCCTTGTGGAAATTACACTAAAGTCTAGTGTGGAGAATGAGGATGCAGCCAGGTGAAGATAGGGATAGAAACGTTCTGGGTGGAGGGACCACCATGTGTACAGCCAAGGCTGCAGGGAAAGAGAAAGTGGGCTGTAGGAAATAAGAGTGGAGGGTAGAAAGTAAAGCAGGAAGTGGAGTGAAGAGATTTATTTCTACATGATCTCTTTTTCGTTGTGCTGACCTGTCCCCCATTCACCATCACCTGCTTCCACACTTATCCACATCCCCCCTAAATAGAACACAGATCATGGATCACCCTAGAATGAATAGCCCAATTTCCTTCCACCGTAGGTGAATTTAGAAGATTCTGCATGGTTTCCTATTTCCTGGCTCCTGAGCATATCCCATCATAAAGGTTTTCAAGTTTATTCGTAATCTTGCTGAGGTCATGATCTGCTCACCTCCATGAACCCAGAAAGGCTGAAAGCGAGCACAGAACCGAGCCTTCTGATTTGCCTTTAGAAGGTGCCCCTGGGCACTCAATCCGGTGTGCCTCACGTGGATGAAGAGTTGGAGAAAAGAAAGCCTCTGTTCTGCAGGCTCACTAGGCAAAAAATAGAGCCCTGAAGGGGCTTCGGCTGGCATTCTTGACCCTCCATCCCAATCTGGGCAGTAAGACAAATCACTCCTCCTCTTACAGAGAGGACTGAGTGAGAGGTGGATAGAAGAGGGAATCCTTCTAACTGGTACTTGCAGGAGGCCCCATGCCTCTACCTGTGTCATGGAAGGAACACAGAGAGAGGGAGATGAACTTTCCTGACAGACAGCACATGCTCTGAAGATCTTTAGAAATCGTTATCCACTTGAGATAAGGGTCACTCATTGCACTGTCTTCATTCGTTTTCATTCATTCGTTTTTCAATCACGAAATCAACTCCTAAAATACATAAGTCCTGATGTAGGCACAGGGGATGCAAAGATGCATAAAATGTCGTCCACGCATTAAGGTGTCCACATAACATGGGGAGGGAACAAACTCTGATTTTGTTTATTACAGAGAAAGAAGGTCTCTGAGGGAGAGTAAAAATGACCTTTTGCTAAAGAAATCCAGAAGAGATAGAGAATGGACACATTCCTCTGCCCTCATCACAAAAGTAGCTTAATTGAATGAGGGACATCATAGGATATTTGTGGGGTCTTGAACCAGATTACCTGGATTCAAATTCTAGCTACATGGATCCCTTTGGATAAGGAACTAACTAACTACTCTGTTTCCTTATCTGTGAATAAAGAAAGTAAAATGAACTCTTCCATAAGGTTGTTTAAACACCAAATAAGATAGAGCATGTAAGGCTCTTGGCAAAGATCTTGTATATAACATGTACTCAATGCATATGTGACTTTAAAAAATAAGTGAATAAAATGGAAGGGAGAAGCTCAAAGTAAATTCTATTTACTGTCTTAGAATAAGAGCTGACCACTGCAAGTGGGAACTTAGTCTGACCTCTTGTAGCTCCCCCACATTTACTGTTCTTTTCTGCCCTTTTCCCTGTAGTGATTACTCTGAAAAGGAAGGTTTTGATGGACTTGTGTTAGAGACAGTTAGGCAGTGAAAAGCTAAAAATGCAGCACCCTGTTTCACAGTGCATTTTGTGAAAGGCTGACTCCCAGGACCCAGAGCAAAGGTAAAAATGGCGGCCTATGCCTTTTCTCTTTCTGATCAGTAATTATGTCTTAATTCAGTGAACACCCCTATGTTGCATTGATTTCATCTGACTTGTTCAGTGGTGGATTTGATGAGAGTAATTTCCGTGTTCATTTTCATTGTTTTGATTAATAATTAAATCTTCTTTACATCAAGAATTTGTAATGCAATAGTCATTAATTTTATGTGATTTCTACCAAATGAAGTTTATTCACATCTGTTATTTCTAGTTCTAAGCAGACTCCCTTTTTGAAAAGTTGTCTTTTCATTTTTCACCTGTTTTCTTCTTTGAGATATGTTTTTATTCTTTTGGACTATATCACAATCTCAGTTTGTACTCATTCAAACTGATCTGAAGGGTTGAAAAGTAAAACACAGTTGAATTCAAAGTCTACAAATGTTAATAAATTTTCATCAAAAATATAATTATAATTAATGTATAGAAATCAAAAGATGAAAATTATGTTTGTTTATTTTTCAGTTTTCTTCTAAAACACTCAAAATTTTAAGTTGTTAAAATTAAAATATTAACTTATAATTCTTTATGTCAAAATATCAAAAATTAAATTTAAATTATTTAAATAAAACTGAATTTTTCAATTGAGGTATAGTCAGTTTATAATGTTCTGTCAATTTCTGGTGTACAGCACAATGTCATACATGGATATACATATATTCATTTTCATATTCTTTTTCACCATAAGCTGCTACATGATATTGAATATATTTCCCTGTGCTATAGAGTATAAACCTGTTTATTTATTTTATGTATACCAGTCAATACCTGCAAATCTCGAACTCCCAGTTTATCCCTTCACACTCTCTTCCCCCCGGCAACCACAAGTCTGTATTCTATATCTGTGAGTCTGTTTCTGTTTTATATATAAGTTTATTTGTCTTTTTCCTTTTTAGATTCCACATATGAGCAATCTCATATGGTATTTTTCTTTCTCTTTCTGGCTTATTTCACTTAGAATGACATTCTCCAGGGCCATGCATGTTGCTGCAAATGGCATTATTTTATCATTTTTTATGGCTGAGTAGTATTCCATTGTATAAATATACCACAACTGCTTTATCTAGTCATCTGTTGATGGACATTTAGGTTGTTTCCATGTCTTGGCTATTGTAAATAGTGTTGCTATGAACATTGGGGTGCAAGTGTCTTTTTGAATTAAGGTTCCCTCTAGATATATGCCCAGGAGTGGGATTGCTGGATTATATGGTAAGTCTATTTTTAGTCTTTAAGTCTATTTTTAGCCTTTTGAGGAATCTTCATAATGTTAAAACTGAAATATTTTGATTGTCAAGTTAATTAAATGTTAACTTTTTTTTCTTTTTGGTGACATGCTATTTAGTGTTCTAGTATGTTATGTTTATCCAGTTACCAATGTAAATAATTGGTGTCATGCTTCATGCCTGTTACATCTACAATGCAAACATATAAAGCTTTCAGAGCAAAATGAATTGCTTAATCCAGGGAAATGCTTCCTAGCTGTCCTGAAGAACAGATGTGACCACCTCAGTGGCTCACATTTACCTCTGGAGCCACGAGATCCAATATGAGCACAAAGCAAGAAAATGAATGCTTTGTGTCACTTTGCCATGCTCAAATCTCCTGCATTTGTACTCTCTGCAAGAAAAGACTTCACAAGTTAATCAATTTGTCTGTTCCATGCTTTAGTTGCTCCTGCTGCTCAAATCCTGCAGCATCCATCTCTGATGTTGGCAGTAACACAGCTGCAAACCTTCATCATGTTCACATGCACTTACCTTTTTTGAGGATCCAGGGTAAGAGACGTGGAGAAGCATTTTCCTGGGACTTGAATGCTCACAGGAGTGGAGGTTCAGGGTGAGGGATCATGATGCGTCAGAACTGAGAGCTGGATGGCAAGAAGCAGAGGTGATGGTGATGTTTTATTTTTTAATAAATGCATCTTTTACTGTGTGTGCAATATATAGCACCTTCTAAAGCATGGGGCCCAGAAGAGAGGTCCTTGTTGTCTCCATCCAAAGGCAGTGCTACACAGGGAGGTGGGACAGTGACTGTACTCAGGGTGAAACAAGGGTTCGTCTTCAGTTTCATCCTGCAGACAGCCAGGAAGGAAGGAAGGAAGTAAGTAATTAAGCAAGAAAACTGTGGAAAGCTAACCTGTTTTAAGAAGTGGCCTCAGTGATATTTGACATGAACATCAAAATAGTTTCAAGACTCCACTTAACTATGGTTTCTGGTTAAAATAATGCCAGAGATGCTACCTCCTCCAAACACACACACACACACACACACACACCCTGAAGGATTTACAGCCTTACCTTGCTTGTGAATTTATTGGACTCTGTGGCATAAAAGGCAGAAGTATGACTTATTCTCTTGTACCTTAATCTACACAAAACGTCAAAGTGCCTGCAAAAAATCCATCCCAGACATCACTAACAACATTCCCTTGGAGACTGCTGGAGTCAGCAGTTTCTCAGATCACTGTATTTTAGAGACCTTCAGATTATCAGGATGATTTACCAGGTCGTTAAGGTAATGCTTGGATTTGCTAAGCAATGCAGATTCCATTCCTCCTGCCACTGAGAACTGGCTGGTCAGATTTTCCATGTTGCTCCTAGAAAAGGCACTAGCCTGGAAGTCAGGGATCTGGGTTCACGAATCTTTCATTCAAGACTACAGTCTGTGTGCCTTCCATCCAAAGGGACCATTCCTGTCCCATGTGGTCAATGGTCAATCAGGGAGGACATCCTGACCATGGCTCTCTTATTTATTTATCACTGAAAAATATTGATTAAACTATTTCTGTGTGTCTAGCACATTTCTTGTTGCAGGTGAACAAACCAAATCCCCGCCCTCAAGGAGCTTACATTCTACTGAGACAATAGACAATGGACAATTATCAGTATACATTTGTACTAAGTCAGACAATAAAGAAAATATCAAAGGGTCAGGGTAATGGGATGTACTTGGTGGCATTTTCTATTTAGGTCAGTTTTTCAGGAAAGGTCTTTCTGCTAATTTATACTTGAACAGAGACCTGAGTGGGTTGAATGTCTAGATGTTAATATACCTGGGACACACACTTTCTGGGGAGAGAAACTGCAAGTAAAAAGACATGATGCGCAAGAGTGTCTAACATGTTGAAGGAAAAGCACAGAGACCAGGTGGCAGAAGCAGGGTGAGTAAGGTGGGTGCGGTGGGAAATAAAAGACTTGAGAGTAAGGGGTCCAAGCCAATGAGAAGAATTTTCTTTTCATCTGAGTAAGATGGTACTTGATGGAGGCTGACATGATTTGTTTATCAAATGAGTCACTCTTGTTGCTGTGCAAAGAGCCCCAAGGAGCAAGGGTAGAAGCAGAGAGAGCAGGGAAGGGGCTGCTATCACAACAACCCAGATGAAAGACGACAGTAATTGGGACTGCTTACTGAGCATTTATCAAGGGTTTGGGTCCAGGCATTCTTTAAAGTTCTTTCCATGTGTGTCAATCTACAAGTACTCACAATAGCTCTATGAGGTAAGCACTAATGCTGCATCTATTTTAGAGATGAGAAAACTGAGCCATAGAGAGTTTAAATAATTGTTGCAAGCCACACAGGTCATTGGTGAATTGGACTAGTATTGTGACCTTGAAAGTGATTGGATGCCAACAGGATGTGCTGATGGATTTTTTTTTCACTTTTTCAATAATCATAGCTCCCACTTATTAAATACAATATGCTGACTTCAGGTCTAAGCTCTTAACATAAATTACCTCATGTAACTTTCCCAACCATTTTATAAATTGGCTACTGTTATTCTCCACAATTTACAGTTGTGGAAATAGAGTTAGAAAATTTGAATGATTTTGTTAACAGTCATAGCTGGCAAGTGCATGAGGTTTGTCTGACTTCATAGCCTAAGTGACCAGGCACTGGACTTCCCCACCCTTCCCCTTGCCTGCTTCTCCATTCCTATATTTACTCGGGACCTTTGCATCAGTCTCTAGTCTTTGAACTTGAGAATTCGATTTGCTTTAGATGTTACTCCCTACAAGGACCTTTTTCTTTTTCTTTCTTTTTCAGTTTTTACTCTGTATTTTCTATATCATATCATATCATATCATATCATATCATATCATATCATGTATCATACGCCATCCATCATATCATATCCAGTTATATGTACTGTGGACTGAATTGTGTTGCCCCATATTTATATGTTGCTGCCCTAACACCCAACATGATGGCATTTGGAGATGGGAGTCTTTGGGAGATAGTTAGATTTAGATAGGTAATGAAATGGTCCCATGATGGGACTAGTGGTCTTGTAAGAAGAGATATCAGAGAGATTGCTCTCTCTCTTCATCATGTGATGATGCAGTGAGAATGCAGCCATCTGCAAGACAGGGAGAGAGTCCTTACCAGAACCCAATCGCTCTGGCTTCCCATCTTAGACTTTCAGACTCCAGAACTGTGAGAAAATAAGTTTCTGTTGTTTAAGCTGTCTATGCTATTTTGATGTGGCAGATTGAGCAGACTAAGAAAATATGTATCATATAATATCATGTACAATATAATTATATATGATGTGTTATATAATAATTTATCATATTTATTTTCTGTTAGTGTATTCTTTTTTTGTCTGCCTGCTTCATCATTTATCTCTTGCATATTATCTAGCACATAGCAGGCATACAATAATATTTGGTGGGTGCATAAATGAATGAATGAATGAACCTAATTCCAGCCACCCTAAATAACCACCATTCTTAGTGAATGGATTTGCCAACTTGGCTCCAGTCCGTTTGCTCAGTGTCTCTACGGAGCCTTCCTTTGGATTCAGTGCAAGATCCAACCCATTAGCTCCTCAGTCCAACCAATGCATTTAGTCCATCAACATTCCCTGAGCTAATCCCAGGCCTGCAACTACCTCCCTCAAGGATCTTGGGCAAGTCATTTCCCTCCTTGAGCTTCAGCTGCCGCTTCATGACCGAGTGAAACTCTGAGCCAGATAAAAAATCATCATCTGAGACAAGATTAAAATTGCAAAGAGGAGGATACATCAGGAAATCTTCCAAGTCAGTAATTCACCCTGAGAATAAAGTAGTAATTCTCTGTGTCCAGAGCTGTGGACGTAGGGACAGAGAAGGCTGCCTGATTGCCTCCAGCTGCCAAACTCCAAGTCTGGGAAATTTGTCAAACCCTAAGCTGTGTTTGTAATCTCTTTCAACAGGCTGCTCATATAGAGACGGTGTGGATCGATTTGTGGTGCTAGAGTGCTTGCACCCTTTCCGGAGGGGCAGTGCACTTGAATATTTAACAAGGCAGGTAAAAGTCCTAAATGGGGGGTGGAATTGAGTTGGGTGGTTTGGGTCAACCACGACCTGGATTATAAAACTGAAAAGAGAAGATGGACATTTTTTATTGATTCGAGACCAATTTTTTCTTGCTTTATTTGCTGCTTTAAATCTATGTACTTTGCTCCTAGTGGCTTCCTGTCTGGATAATAGAAAAACACTTTCTGTAAGTGTTTAACTTGACAGGCTTCCATTTGTACCTGGGCTGCCAAGAGCCACTTGTGGCTCTCATCCTGTATGTTTACAAGTCTCTATATATCCAGAATTCATTTGTTTATCCAGCATCTATTCATCTATCCATTTGTCTATTCAGTCAGCTCTGATTGAGTTCTTAGTATGTGCATGAAAAAAAATCTTGCTCTTTGCAAAAAATATGAATAAAAATGTTTCTGCTCCAAAGAAGGTCTGATAGAGTGGGCACACTAAACAGGAGACACTAGCAATGTATTGTGTGATGTGTGCACATCCCTCCAGAAAGAATGGACATAATTCAGCCTGACTCAGATTGGCTGCCAAGTAAGCCATTTCAGCATATATGTCTCTGAGTTGTTCTCTACTCCTTTTATCTCAACACTCCATTGTCAAGTAGGCAAGTAGCTGAATATCTTGAGGAGTCTGCTTCCCAAACTTAGTTGATTAGACTAGATTTTAGTAGGTTCCCTGGCATCCAATCAAAACGAACTTCTAGAAATCTAGTCTTTTCTTTGCCAGGGAGGTGGTGTTTCAGAGTGGCTAAGAGACTGTCTTTGAAGTCAGACAGTTCGAATTCAAATTCTGAATCAACTCTGGAAAAATACTGGGAACTCTTTTATACTAAAAAGGGGAGTGGGTGTGGTTGTTGCAAACTTCTTGGTGTCAGAATACTTCGTTCTTGCAGCTGATAAATCAGCTTGGCCAGGCTATACCACCTACCCCGGAATTTCTCTTCTGTTTTATGTTTCCAGCTGGGCTGGGCCACAAGGAATATTCTCCCAGGAGAATTAGGGAGTGGGAAGGGAGGCTGTAGTCATCTTATAGCAATACAGAATTTTTTCATTATTTAAGCAAATACTAGTCTTAGTGCTTTTGTATAGGGATTTTATCAATGTGATATAAAGTTCCAAAGTCATTGATTATTTTTAGTTAATCAAAAGAGAGACCATTGTGGGCGGGTGTGACTTAATCAGGTGGAAGCCCTTTAAAAGGAGTCTAGGGTCTTCTCGATAATCAGATACTCCAAGCATTGCGTGGGCTGACATTCCTCTCTGAATCTTCCCTTCCTAACTGCTTTCCCAGGCTTGCTTAGCCAGTCCCTAGAATGGTGGATACCTATTTCCTATTCCCTGTGCGTGTGTATATGTACTTACACACACAACCCCTGTATATATGAATATTCACATATATGACACGTACAATGCACATATGTATATATACACACATGTGTATATGTATATATACATGCATGTGTGTGTATACATACTACATATGTACTGTATATATACTGTGTATATCTGATTCTGTTACCGAGTCCAAACTCATTCTGCTCACTGCATGACAGGCCAATGAATTGGGCAGGAGACAAGGTGTTGGGGCAGGAATAATGACTTTATTTGGAAAGCCATCAGACTGAGAAGATGGGAAAATAATGACCTAGAGAACCATCTTCCCTAAGTCAGAATTCAGGCTCTTTTTATACTAAAAAGGAGTGATTGGTTGTTGCAAACTTCTTGGTGTCAGAATCCTTTGTTCTTGCAGCTGTCTACGTAGGTCAGGTCATAATGCCCCTGTAAATCTCCAACAAGACAAACGTTATTCTCTGTTTGTCTCTATATGAATGGGAAAGTGTTATACCCTTAAAGGTCAGAATCTTGAGAATAGGCTCTCCTGTATATTTCCGTCTCTAGGCAACATTCTTGTACAAAAAGTGCAAAACCAGCATGACTATGCACAGGACCAGAGCACAGGGCTGGAGCTGAAGAAACAACTCTAATATGGAGTCAGATTTGTTCTTCAATATTTTAATTCTGCTCCTCTAGTTGAAGCCTACCTAGTACTTGTGAGCATACATTGTAGTTCAGGCCAGAAGGCCTCCTGCAGGAAGTGAGTTGAAATTTGAAGGATGAACAGAAATAGGAATGAGCTAGAAGGAAACACTGTGTGTGGTCTGGGGCAGAGTGGGTGTGTCTAGAGATGGAAGGGGAGGAAGTG